CGACGTCCCAATGAAGATCACACACAACTTATTGTTCACCATCTCCATCAACACATTGCCATGCCCTAATAATGCATGTTTAGGACNAGGTTTGCTGCAAGTGTAAACAACATAACATTTGATTCTCCAAGGATTTCGATACTGGATGCTTATTATAGAAGAATCACCGGTGTTTATGGAGACGACTTTCCCARTTTCCCACCATTGTTTTTCAACTTTACCTCCACTAATCTGAGTACATCGTTGGAGACTCCATTGAATGCTACAGAGGTGAAAGTACTAGATTTCAACGACACAGTAGAGCTGGTGTTTCAAGGAACAAACTTGGTTGCAGGGATCGATCACCCCATGCATTTGCATGGGCATAGTTTTTACGTTGTTGGATGGGGATTTGGTAACTTTAATAGACGTAAGGATCCTTTGGGGTATAATCTTGTTGATCCTCCTCTCCAACAGACCATTGCAGTTCCGAAAAATGGGTGGACAGCTATTAGATTCAAGGCCGATAACCCTGGTGAGTCTATATTTCTTAAATAATTAGCATGCATGAACACTAAAATTGTTATCGCTAGTCCAAAATCAGTTTTATATGACGTCTAAGATATCTAAATGTTCTAACGGGCTGTTTTATATCCTATCACCTCATTATAGCACATTTATATATAGGACACATAATTTTTTGATTCTATAAACTTAGGTTCTATAACCGACACTTTCAAAATGAACATTTCAAATGATTAAAACACATCTAGATTGCAATTCATTTAATGAAATCAAGAACCCGATTTACGTTGTGAGTTCATTGGCCTTTCTTTAAATTTACAGGAGTTTGGTTAATGCATTGCCATCTTGAACGTCATATAAGTTGGGGAATGGAGGCAGTATTCATCACAAAGAATGGTAGCGGTCCAGGGGAATCAATCTTGCCACCACCTCCAGATTTCCCACCATGCACTTAAAAAATCATMCTAATACGAATAATTCTTCTTTCTTCGTATCTGTCTCATGTCAAAATCTGCATGCTGATCACTAGAATCTGCAATATCTTTATCTGGTGTGTATGTGCAGATCAAAGATATATAGCATATAACCTACAAAATGGATTTTGCTTCAATGGTATCAAACGAGTTTTATGATATGATTTTCAATTACGGGTTTGAATTTCTCTAAGAATATGAATAAATACAAGAAGATTTGTTGTTTGATATTGTAAAAGTAGGAGCCACTAGTGCTGCTAGCTTCAAATGGAACAAGTACTGTATCCATAATAAAGCACATTCATAGTGTGTTCTTTTTGTTATATATAATTTATTATTAATTGTTGTAAGATATTTTTGAGAATTTTGTTGGGGTTTGCAAGTTTAATTATTATTCAATTCTAATGTGTGGATCATTTCTATGGAATTTCATTATTGTGGTTTGACAAATTTTCTGATTTCTCTTATGGAATATTAGCTCTTAAATGAACAATTAAACATATTATAGAGATACAAAACAAAGACATATATAACAAGAAGAAAAAGATCATTTTGGGAAGGATTTATTTTCATATAGTTATTACAAGATAAGAAATAGAATCCTAAACAACTACAACTAGCTATGATAAAGAGAAAGGACCTAAAATAGAGGATAGCAAACCAAGGTTTCCATAATACCTATCAAGTTGGAGCATGCGGATTCGAGGTCTGTTCCACAAGGTAAACATCACCTTTTGAAAATCTTTTAGTGCTGAAGGAATATATCAAGTGGATTGGTTTTAAAAAGATCCAATGCAATTGTTAATAACTGTAAAACTTCTACATGCTCAAAATATGTGGAAGAATTTCAATGCTTTAAATGGCAATTAAAGCAAAGCAATCAAGGTAGTCCAAAAAGCCTAAATGAGATTTCTATATGGAAAATTTGGAGTACCTCAGACAATTTTTTTTTATTAACCTGGATATCCAACCCGCTATGCGAGCCGACTAATCCCAAGGCAATCATCTGCTTTGCAGATAGTCCGGAGTCACCACATTTAAACCTCCGTGGCCATAAGGGATTTTTATTCCTTACTGGATTTGAACTTGGGACCTCATGGTACTTTTGACCCAAACAAATTTGCCGACACAGGAAACAAAAATATTAATAGCCTTGCCTAATGTACTCTATCTACCATCCCTATTGTAATATCACCAAACCCATTAGTTTGTTTATCAATATTTGCTATTAAACTCAAGGAAAGATCAAGGATTTGGTCACTGTGGGATAGAGTGAAATATCAGTAATCCAAGATAGCTAATAAAGATTATCAATTTGCGAGTTGTAGAATGTACCATGAGAAATGGAATGGTTGCTGAACCAACTAAAATTTTGAGCAGTTATTTGCAACCAAGCTAGCTATCATGGAAGCATTTTTTGGACTTGCTTTTTGCTTGTCATCTGAACTTGCTTTTTTGCTTACCAAATGCACTTGCTTAATCAACAAGTATGTGGGGGGAAAAAGGGTTTCTTCAAAACCTAAATGTCCATAAGAAGTAAATAATTATGTATGTAGCTTTAGAATAAGAAATATCTAACCTGACAAAAATTAAGTCAATTCTTATCAAGAGAAACCCATACAACTCATATTGAAGATGGAGAAAGCCATACATAGATATTGAAGATGGAGATCGAACTTGAAATCCAAAAAGAGCCATTGGGACAATTGATCAGCGATTCGAAGATAAAGTGAAAGATAAAATCCGTAGAGTTATAAGGCGGAGTGTGAGCGGTACCTTGGGAGCTGGAATCGACATCTAAGTATGAATAGTTTCTTGGGAGTTGATGCATTTTTTTAGGAGCGGCAATAACATCTAGTGTAGGGAAGGGGAACGAAAACTAAATCAACGGGTTGTACTTTGTGCATAAATGCTTGTAATTAAGAGTTCTTTTTGAAAAACATGCTTAAAAATGTAGTACTTTGTGCTTCATATGTTGTTTTTAAGACTTTTATGAAATTTGGTTTATAAGATAGTATAGATGATTTAGAAAAAAAAATCATAAATTATCAATTTAATTTATTGAGTTCAAACATGATTTTTAAGAAGTTCTATGTACAATAATAAGTTGTACATTTGGTAATAGGAAATTAGTAAAATGTTCATAAGTAAAAACACAATAAATAAAAATTACCATTGAAATAAAGCAATATTATTATTTTATCATAGAGAGACATTTATAGCACATATCCATCTTATCTTGTGTATCARATTGACCCTTAAATAATCAAAGATTAAATTACAAGAAACATTTAAGTGGTATTTATCAGCTTGAGACCGCAGCTTCAACCTGCAGTTTGGCACAATGATTTGTTGTTTTTAGAGAACAACTACTTGATGATGTGTTATGCTTTTTTGTACCCTTACCTCTTTACCCCATCTTGAATTTGCTATATCATGTACAACTCCATCCATATAGCTCAGCAAAATCGTCTTCAAATTTCAATATCCTTCTCATCAAAATTTACTTGAGAAACAAAATCCTCTTGCAGTCACAAGTTGATCAATTTAATCTCAGTTTAGTATTCAAACACATCAAGGACGAACTTTAACAACTTTATGAATAAAATTCAAATGAACACTCAGTTATAAAGATGAAATACAACAATTAAAAACATACATAGTTCATATCATGAATTATAAACAATCAATAAAATCAAAACATAAATCAACCAGCAATCGAGAAACGTAAACCTGCAAAATTTGAATTTGCAAACAAGAAACATAAACCTGCAAAATGTACATGGGGACAACATCTAATTAAAACAACCAGCAAGTAGATAAAAAATATATAAAAGGAATGTCTTTTGCATCAAAACATGCCTACTCTGTTTGAGTGTTTTGTCCACCATGTAAATATTCCACCCCAACCACTCTGGAAAATGGGCAACCCAATTCTCTCAAACAACTCATTCTAGATGAATGTAATCTCTGGATTGATTTGATCTCCATCCAAATATATACAAACAAGAAAAAAAAAATCTATCTTCCTCAATAAAAACAAAATTAAACAATACTAATTAAAAAAACCCATGAAAAATATACAAACATCACGAACAAACATTAACCAACTAAAAACCAAAATTAGATTGAAGTGAAGAAAATATGAGCAAATGAATGATGGAATTGTCAATACTTCGATAAATGGTCAAAACAATTGATTGTAAACCAGGTTGGCGAGAAATGGTCAAAACAGTTGATGCATATGATATGTATTGTGGCATGTTTGGTGAATTGAAGGAGTCAAAACGATAACATCTTCAACGGCAAGATTCAAGCATCTTGGAAGTTGTTAACGAGGTTCAATTCTACTATTTTCTGTGGGTTAAATAGTGTCAAGGTGGGGAAAGATATTAGCTGGGAAATTTGGTGTTGTTATCCTCGTTTACGTTTTTCGCACGTTATGTAATCTAGCGTCTTGCTAGGTTTTTGTTTAATAAATTCCTTTTCTTGCCGTTCAAAAAAAGAAAAAACACAAATCTAATTTTATCTAAAGGAATAATTTCATGTTTTAATTAAAAACAGTGCACCACATCATCAACTCCTTTCTTCCGGTCTAGTGGTCAGATCCGGGACATTACTACCACGGCGACTATCGACCCGAGCCCAAAGAAGGGAAAAAAATGAACGGATCCCTTCTCTCCAGTGAGTGCAGTGAAGGACTCTCGTCGGGCCCTGTACACACCACCCGTTACACCCTGGGATTAGGTTTTTGATCCTGTGCAATGTTGAATCCTGCTGTTCCTTTATCCCCTGCTCCTTAACTACTCGAAAGACTGAGCTTGGGATATTGAGATGCTTAGAGCCAGTGATGAAAGGGTAATTTTGCTTTCAATGTCCAACTTGTACAGCTTCCAATATATCTGTTGAGCATTTTGCAACCTAAGACCTTGTTCCTTTCTACTTGACTAAGTAATATCCCACTCGTGCAGTGGATGTAGAGGCAACGGATCATAGTTCACGCTTTATGGCATTGAACAAGAAATGAATGAAAGGTTGGAAGATCCTGCCCAGGGGGAGAGAGGACTATTGAATTCCTCCTCCCTTCAGTCCAGGTTGAACCCGTCCTCACTCTTGTTCAACGGTAATGGACTGAAAGACTTATGAGACATCGTCTGATTCAGGAGTGGCAGAACCATTGACACCAGATGCTTGGGCTTCCACCTGTGCGCCAGAATTTAGCTGGAGTCTGTCCAGATCATATCTAAACATAAAATTGAATCACATAAAAATGTACTTTTTTATGCTCCTTAGCTTAGCCTTTCAATAACTTGTGTCCTTCAATTGGCATCTTTTTTGTTTATTCTTCAATTCTCTAGGTGAAATACTACCAACTCCCAACTTGTAAAGAAACGTTCAATACATGTGTTTATTGAGGCCTCTAGTATAAACACTTTAGATAGCTAGGAATTAGTTTAAGTGTAGGGCTTGCACTTTTTCTCTTAAAACGACAATCGACATTGATGTGTTTTCTTCTAAATTGAAACAAAGAATTGTTGAGAGTATAAATAATTTTTTCAACATGAAGAGTAAGAGGCAAAGAAACCCCTACTCCAAAAACATTTTGTAAACATGCTAAAGAAGTACCTTATGATTCACATACTAAATAGCACAATGTTCTACTTTTCTTGAACTTGATCCACAATTTATGTTTTAGAAAACCATGAGGGGGGAGATCCAAGGAACACATAAAAACCGTCGACCAATCTAGTTGTGAATGAACATCATATGCCACAAAGTTAATATTGCAAAAACCCATTAAACTCTTCGATGATTTACTGGATTATATGTCTTTTTCTTACAGTATTATTGATATTTGTAATCTATTAATTTGTAGATCCTCATTAAAGAAGAAAAGTTTTCTCATATTCTGTATTAAAAAACCTTCAAGAATAGAGTGTTACAACATGACTACTTAACAACATAATTCAAAAACAACCACCACTGTAATGCATTGAGAAATTGGTATTGTTGTTTGACGTATCATACTACATCTTGGATGAGCCATGCTTAAAAGATGTCCAATTCACTAAGTAAAAGAAGATTTACAAAAAGATACGACTTACACTTCAATAAGTAGAAAATGTTAAGAGATAACTAATATCAATTGACCAATTTATGTCTTAGAAGACCATGACAGGGGAGATCCAAGGAACACATAAATACGTTGACCAATCTAACATAGTCTAAATAACAATAACCTCTTAGTCCACAATCCACGTTCTTTCCTCCAAATAAGAGGCCTTGATTTGAGGTACCTTTCGGGTACCTAAGAAAAGTCTTGATTGCTTTTAGTGTGGCATACTCGAGTTTGACATATATACTGGCTTACCATTGTAAACAAAGATATATCGTCTCATTAAATATTTTTACTTGACACTTTTGAAACTTGTTATAGTCTTTCTTATATATATATATATACATACATACACACACATCATTTTTCAAAAGTATCAGATAAAAAGACTAATATAATGCTTTATTTTTGGTATCCTATTAGGTTATCCATCTTCAAATGTAAAACTTGTTAGGTTGCTTAATTTTGTTATGTATTCAGATAAGAAATAAGATCTTGGTCTAATAAATTTAAAGTCTTATCAAGTGCTTTATTATATCGGTTGCATCTAAGTCCTAAAAGACCCATTTGTTGTATAACATCAAACTTGCCTTTCCAATTTGAAATTTAACTAGGTTTTCATCCTCATTATGTTCGAAAAGGAATCTCTATTTGATATCATCCTTGAAAAATGTTGATTCGTTAATTATTAATATGTGTTTTCAGAAACAACCAAGTTCATTGTGGAACATGGAAAAACTTATATGCTCAGAATGGTTAATGCCGCAAAGAACCTCTTCATGTTTTTGGCGATCGAAGACCACGAAGTAACCATTATAGGAACCGATGGTGCATACACCAAGCCACTAAAAAGCGACTATGTGACCATCTCCCGTGGCCAAACCATCCACCTCTTGTTTAAAGCCAACCAACCCATAGGTCGTTATTATATGGCAGCTAAGCCATATAATAGCCAGCCATTGATTACTTTCGATAACACTACCACCACAACCATTATCGAGTACAAAGGCTACAAAAAATCATCTTCACATCCAATTTTTCCCCATCTTCCAAAGGTTAATGACATTGGTGCATCGGTTAATTTCACTGGAAGCCTTAGACATTTAGCAAGTCGTGCTCATCCAAATAACGTCCCAATGAAGATTACACACAACTTCTTGTTCACCATCTCCATCAACACATTGCCATGCCCTAATAATGCATGTTTAGGACCTAGAGGACTGAGGTTTGCTGCAAGTGTAAACAACATAACATTTGATTCTCCAAGGATTTCGATACTGGATGCTTATTATGGAAGAATCACGGGTGTTTATGGAGACGACTTTCCCAATTTCCCACCATTGTTATTCAACTTTACCTCCACTAATCTGAGTACATCGTTGGAGACTCCATTGAATGCAATAGAGGTGAAAGTACTAGTTTTCAACGACACAGTAGAGCTGGTGTTTCAAGGAACAAACTTGGTTGCAAGGATCGATCATCCCATGCATTTGCATGGGCATAGTTTTTACGTTATTGGATGGGGAGTTGGTAACTTTAATAGATGTAAGGATCCTTTGCAGTATAATATTGTTGATCCTACTCTCCGACAGACCATTGCAATTCCGAAAAATTGGTGGACAACTATTAGATTCTAGGCCAATAACCCTGGAGAGTCTATATTCCTAAAATAATTAGCATGCATGAGCACTAAAACTGTTATCGCTAGTCCAAAATCAGTTTTATATGGCGTCTAAGATATCTAAATATTCTAACGGGCTGTTTTATATCCTATCACCTCATTATAACACATTTATATATAGGACACATAATTTTTTGATACTATAAACTTAGGTTTTATAAGATGTCTACTAGGATATTTAGATATAACATGATGTTGTTTATAATTAACCCATTTTGTTGCAGCTAAGTTGTAAAACTTAAACAGAGTAGACAAACTTGTTTATTCAATGTATGTAAAGAAATAACAATCAATTACAAACTAAAAGAATAGAAATCTAAACATTTGTTTAGAAGAACAACAAACTTTAAAGAATATGAAGAGAGTATTTTGGGAGAGAAATTGTAGCTGAATCGGTAATCAAAAAATGAGTGAATAAGAGCTAGCTTGGAGAGAAAGCTTCATTATATATCTTTGAGAAATGACAGATTTGGTCCTTGAAGAATGCGACTCCTTACTCCGCTACCCTTGTAGAAATCCCATAAACGAGATGCAGTCCTTCTCTTTATGAATCCAAACATCTTTGTACAAATGACAGGTTCTACCCAACTAACTTTCCTGTTAACAAAACAAGTCCAACAAAGTCAAGTTAGTCAAGATTGGATTTAATAGTATATTTTAACACCCGCCCTCAATCTTGACTCCTGAACAAGTCAATCATCCTTAATTTTGAACATAGATAATTGTGATGATTTACGTTAAGAGCTTTTGTTAAAATATCAGCAGTTTATTCGGAAGAAGAAATATTTATTATTTTTAAAACACCTCAGTTGATTTTTTTCACGAATAAAATGTATGTCAATTTCAATGTGTTTTGTTTTTTCATGAAAAACGGGATTGTTAGCTATTTGTATAGCATACTTGTTATCGCAAAATAGACTAACAGGGAGAAGATCAATAATATAAAGATTAAAAAGAATTTTTAGAACCCAAATGATTTCACAAGATACAGAAGCCATAGCCCTATACTCTGATTCTGTGGATGAAGAAGAAACAGTGTTTTGTTTCTTGTTTTTCCATGAAACCATGGAATTCCCAACAAACAAACAGAAACCTGTAACAGATCGCCTAGTAGAGAGACACTTACCCAAGTTTGCATCTACAAAGACACTTAAAGTAAAGTGTTCTGATCTTGTAAAACTAACTCCTTTTCCAGGAGAAAGCTTAAGATAGCTGAGAATTCTTAGAGCAAGTTTTAAGTGTGATTGTTTAGGAGCATGCATGAATTGACTTAAGGAATGAACAACAAAAGCTATATCAGGCGTAGTTGCAAGAAGATAGATTAATCTACCAATCAGTCTTTGATAACCAGAGCAGTCTAACAAGGAAGGGTCCTTTGAACTATTAGAGTTAGATATAACCAAGTTCATATCCATAGGTGTACTTATAGGTTTGCACCCTAAGTAACTAGAATCATTTAACAATTCCAAACAATATTTGCTTATGAGACATACAAACTCCATTGCCAAAACAATATTTGCTTATGAGACATACAAATATTAAATTTTGTTATTTAGAAATAAAAAAATAAAACATTGCCAAAACACTAAATAAATAAACAAGAATATAAATTATATGGAATAATGGTTACAAATATTGTTTAACGATTACAAACCATAATAGACTATAATAGTAAATGTTGAAAGTTTAACGATTACATACTATAATTGTAAAGGTTCAAAGTTTAACAATTACATATTATGAATCCAATTAAACACACAATTTGAAAAATTACGAATCATTTTATCTCAAATTCAGAATCTACAGTTCTAAGTTCTTGACCTAATTTAAATTTAGTATTAAAAAAAATTATTTATTTTTTTAAATTGAAAAATACCGGGTACCCGCCGGTTCCCGGTGCCCGGTCCCGGCGGGTAACGGTTCCGAAAAATTGAGAAGCAGAACCATTCTCAATCGGTTCCATATTTTAGGAATCGGAACCACTCATATCGGTTTTGGTTCCGGAACCGGCAGTTCCAAGACAGTTCCGGTTCCGTAAGTGGGTACCCGGTTTCCCTGCTCACCCCTAGCCGTGGCTGAGGCTGAGGGTGCGGAATTCGCGAAAGTGGCGCGAGAAGGTGCACTTTGCACTTCGCACGCTGCAGAAGGAGCCTCGCCCCGAGTATCTTTTTGGTACAAAGTCGAGAGGAGAAGGAAATAACTGATTTTTGAAATAAAACTCGGTTTTATTTTTGACTTGGTCTAACCACGTTTTTTTAGGGATAACCTTCACTGGAGAAAAATCCTAAAAGCTGATCGTGCGATATCATTTGAGGATTTCGTGGGGATTTTTAGGGTTTCACCCAGTATTTATACCGGGTTGAAGCCGTCTCTAAACACACGAAAAAATCAGTGCTTTCCTTCCTTCGATCGTTGCTTCCAAACCTATTTTTCTCTCTACCGATTTCTGCATCCACCGTGCTCTATTTTCGTTTTTGATCGCTGTTCATAAACGAAACGTATACTGCATCAAATCATGGGTTTTGCAACTAGCAGACTTACAACGTGAATAGAGTGGTCGTATAAAACCTTAAAAGACAGGTTTTACCGTGAAGATTACAATTCAAATCGACAGTTTAATCAGGTTGGTTTTATATTTATTGCATTGTATTCAATTTTCTGTTCACTAAGTGAACAACTCTGCTTCTACTCCTTTTTTTCATTGCATCTATCGTGAATGATAGATTCAATCTGTGTGAATTGGCACTCTGTTGAGGTGTTGTGGGTTCTGAACGCTAAAAGGTTTAATTTTGTCCGTTAAAGATTTAAAGTTTTTTATAAAGATTAAAACTTATTTTATTTCATCTATCTTACTCGAATTATTTTTCAACAATAAACTCACACACCCTCCTCATCTTCGGTGATGTTTGAATCTTTGACCTCCTAGAAGACTAAAGACTTACAAACCACTGGTCCAAAAAATGGCTGTCTTCATATGATGTCACGAGATCTTGTCAATTTGTGGTAGTATAAATCAGAGAAATGTTTAATTGATTTGCTTGTTTTAATTGATTTGGATGTGTTTTTGCATGGATGGGGTGGCTTGTATTTAGAGTGCTGATAAGGGTACGTGACGGGTTAGTTAAAGGTTATTTCGGTACCTTATCCATTTAAAATACCGATAAATAAAACTGGTAGTCATTTATCTCATATGACTCTTATCCATATCTTATAAAATATTGGGTAACAAAACGGATAATAGATAAATAAATATCTTTAACTCACGTATCTTTGTTTTGTATGGTGTTATAATACCTAACATGTAAGCCCTATGATTTGGACTCAGTTCGAAGCTTTGATTTTTCTAATTTTCATTTTTTGACGTTTGATTTCGAGAAGCAAAATTATATATGAAACTTCTTATTCTCTGCAACTTTTTTGAAAAACAGTCAAAAAATATATTATTAAAAACTAAAACAAATACAACCAAAAAACAACTACAAGATGCGATAGGCTACAAGAGATCGAATGCAATTAAACAACGATTTCTATCAAATAAGATAAAACCCTCTCCAAGGCACATCTATAACTTTGGTCCTCCATATTTTTATTGGTTTGATCCGACCCCGAATACATTCTTTTATCCATACTCACGTTTCGATACAATTAGCTTTTTGGTTTTTTGAAGTTCTTTCAAATTATTGTATCTAGTACAATTGTTAAACACATATGTATAATGAGTAAATTGACGTAATGTGTAGCACATTATAAAGTACATTATGACTTAATTAAGACCCAACAAAATACATTAACCTCTTTATGCAGTAAAGGAATAACGAAAGCAGTGCGCAGCTTTGTGATTGGACTTGATCAATGCTCTACAATATGCATGGATCATCAAGACCCTCATCATCGATATCAGATAAATGAACGATGAGGATATTATGAAATATGTATTAATAAAAAGAATTCGTAAACAATCCTAACAATTTAATGTTCCTGTTATACTTTGAGGCATGATTAATTGCACAAATGATGTGGCTATTCTCATCTTGTTTAGCGATCAGTTTAGCCAGCTTTCTAAAACAAATTTCACACAAATACATGATATGATTTCTATAAGGATATATAATTTTAGCAATTGAAAGAAAAATTACATAAAATAATTACGAAAAAGAAAAAATTAAAAAAAACAAATGAAGAAAAACCATTCCAGCCAAAGTTGCAAGACTTGAAAGTAACAGCAGTATAATATTGAGTGAAAATTTAGAAATGTCAACATAGATACGATGCTAATTTAAACAAGCCAAAAGTGAAAATTTAGAAATGTCAAAACATGGTAC